CACAGCCGGCGCTCGTTCCAGCGGCCGCGCACTCGCCGCCGCCCCGCGCTGCTCAAGCTGGCATCTCTGCAGCCGACATGCCACGCGCCGCCGCACTCGCTGGAGCAGGAGGAGACGCCGCTGTGAGGGCGCGGAGGAGCGCGTGGGGCCGTGACCGCCGCAGGGGCGGGGCGTATCTGCGCTCCCCGGAAAGGGGTCGCACCCAGGGACGGGGTGCACCCTCTCGGACCGATGTGCCCAGGGACGAGGGTGCGGCCCGGCGACCGTGGTGCGCCCGGGGATGGGGACTCATCGGACCCAGAAGGGGAGGTCCCGGCCCCTACCCCGCTTGAGCCCTGTCGGGTGTGACAGCTCTGGGCTACAGGCGCCGCTCCGCCCCAGAGGACCAGTGTCCCGGACTTGGAGGTGGCCTGGCCGGGTGGAGCGCGCCGGCACGACTCCAGAGGACAGAGAATCATCGGTGGGTGGCGGTCGGCAAGTGGCGGCGAATTTCACAAGCAACGCGTGTTTAACACCAAAAGAACCGGCTCGGCGGGCGTCTTTGAGCCTCAGCGCAAGGAGGAGCCGGACACTGCCCACGAAGCCGCTGTTTCCCGAACACGTGCAGGGAGGTGGACACCTGGGGCTCAGACCCTGCAGGTGGGCTGTTGGCTGAGACCCCTGGGCCTGTCCCCAAGCCGCCGTAGGCCAGCCGTCGCCCCCATCCACCCCCAAGTCTCAGGGACGTGGCCTCGGACAAGAGCCGCTCGGCGCATGGAGCGCAGGGCTCTGTCCTGGCCGTTCTGGGGGAGGAGGCGCTTATCCCATCGGGCTCTGAGAGCCTCGGTGGGCCATTCGCGTGCAAGCCACCTACCCGCCCACCGTGGGGTTTTTACTACGAGGACATAGTACATGACTGAGGGACGGTGGGTGCAAGGACACTCCTGTAAGCTTTTGGAAAGCAAACCAGACTCTCTGCTCTTTGCTCAGGAAAATGAAATTACTTATTTTGTTTTATGATCAATTTCTGACACTTTAGGTTCTCAAAGCAGTCCTAGGTGAGGAGTTACTAAGTTTGTACTGTTTTAGTATTGCACATGGAGTCCTTGACTGAAAAGTCTACAATTTCCTGTTCATAACTTTATTGTTAAAGGAAAAAGAAAAAAGGAAAACGTCACTGTGGAGTTTACCAACACAGAACCCTCTATGATTTCTGGCATTATCACTGACAGAAGATGATTCATTCAAGAAATCCAGCATTTGTTTTTTGAATCATTTGCTGGAGCCCTGGTGGCACAGTGCTTAAGAACTTGGCTGCTAACTAAAAGGTTGGCAGTTCGAATCCAGCAGCCACTGCCTGGAAACCCTGTGGGGCAGTTCTACTCTGTCCTGTAGGGTCACTGACTCGGAACCGACTTGACGGCAACGGGTTTGGTAAAGTCTGGTCTTTGGTAGTTGTTCTCTACATCTTGTAACCATTTTAATTAACTCTCTGAGCACAAAATCCAGCCGTTATCTATGCAAAAAACCTGCCAATTAGTGACCCCAACAGACAACTCCAAGGCCAGCCCTGCCCAATGAGCTACATTGATCAACTGTATCTTTAGGAAAATATATGCTTTGCCTACTCACTGCAAAGAACGATTTGTCCAGAACAGGGCTGAGCCCTGGCCAGAGGGGTCCGGGTTCCCCAGGGCACCATCCAGTCACCACATCTGCTCTGCAGTGGTCTCGGTGGCCAGGAGTGAAACCGCCTTCCCGAGTGCCTCTCGGGTGCCCAGAGCAGAGCGAGAGCCAGCCTGGCATTCCCAGCTGCCCTACTGAGGGCCCTGTCGCGTGGCCTACCTGCTGCACTGCGTGCGGGCGGCCAATTCAGGGAAAATGGCCTGGGGCAGGTCCAGAGATGGCAAACCAGCAGAGACTGGAAAGGGCAGCTGCCACGTGTTACACTGTCTCACAAATATTCCCTTGGCTGGTTCGACTTCAGGCACGATTTTAAGGGGTTTTCTGTGTTAGTGTGAACTGCGCAGGTTAAGCACATCCACAGTGGAACAAAAGTCTTAGACTAGGAAGCCTCACTTCACAGATGACGTGAGTCCCTTCCCTACATTTCACATGTGTAAGGGATGATTCAGCATGTTCCAGCCTATCTGCACAGTGTTGCAAATCCTAGTACTGTAGATACTTTCAGCAATGAGAATGCTCACTGTTTTTGTCATTGTTGTGAAATAGAGTGTCAACAGTCACATGAATGTATTTCCTTAGGAAAACTGTTGTAAAATTTTTACTTGGAAAGTATTCCTATTTATTTAATACTGAACTCTGGCCTACTTTGTGGTACTCTATGAAGTGCACTCGTTTGAGAAATCTCTGTTTCTCACCTCCACATTTTCCCGAAGATAGTTTTGTTACCGTGTTCAGCATACTGTGTACCCCTGACCTGCTGTGAAGAGATCTCACTGACACTGGAATTGGAATGTAAGTTATGAGTGCTGACACATCGTGTACATTTCTTGTGAATCAATCTTAGTCATCCCGTAGTTCTAATCACAAAACGATGTGCCTTAAAACGCCCCTCCTGATGTGCTGTTGGCAGGGTCTGGGTAGGGAGGGCCCCCTTCACCAGATCTCTGCATCAATTTCTTGATTGATTCTATTAAAAATGTTTTCAAGGCATTTTTGGACGCAGACTTTGTAAATGATTTGAGAAATTACACGAAGGGGAATTCAGAGCAGCCTCACATAGACAAGCCATTGCTCTGACATTAATTTATTGACACCAAGGTGTGTCTGTCTCCACGCCATCTCCTCTGGCCAGTGGGAGGAACCTGTTTGACTAGCGGCTGTGCAGCATTTCCCGGGTGCTGGGGAACGGCCAGGGGTAAAACTGAGGCACCAACACCCATCAACAATCACCCAGACAGGTCACACACAA